TATAATTGCAATGTGGTCAGGTTCACACAGACCTGAGCTGGGATCCCAAATCTATTTGCTACAGGAGCTGTACACGGCACGTCTGTTCCTTCTGCTGTGGTTTTTTTATTGTTGTGAGGTGCCATCAATTCAAGCACAAGTCACAGCAAATCTGAACCCTGTCCTATCCTGTACCATCCTCATCATCTGTGGCATACTTGAGCCTGTTGCTGCAGGCACTGGGTCAATTCATTTCATTAAGGGTCTGCTCTTTCATTTCTTTTTTATTATTATTTTATTGTTTTTATGTGAGTGTACCGTCAAATCAGATCTGACTGGTACAGGAGGAGATTGCCCCTCCTTCCCAGGCAGAGCATCTGGTGGATTCGAACCGTGTGCCTCTGGGATTGTAGTTGCAGCTCCTTGCCACTAGGCCACCAGAGCTCCCCTTGCTCTTCCATTTCTGTGCAGAAGAATGTGGGATTGGGATCAGAGGAAGACTCATCAAAATCCTACATTTCGCAGATATTTGCTTGCTGAAAATGAAGAAGACTTGAAACACTTATTAGAGAAGATCAAAGAAGACAGCCTTCAATATGGATTGTACTTAAACATCAAGAAAATAAAAATCCTCCCCGCTAGACCGATGAGCAACATCATGACTGAGAAAAGAGTAAACTTGTCAATGATTTCATCTTACTTGGATCCACAATCAATCCTATGAAAAGGAGGGCAAACCAGTGGCTGAGAGAAGACAGAAACAATTTCATCTTGAAGAAGGGAGTTGAGGGACTCAACTCCTCAAGAAGAAGAGCCTAGATTGTCATTCGCCTTCACATTTATTAGCCTTCCCCAGGAGTAAGTTAAGACAAACAACTTTGGGGTTTAGCTCCTCAGCAAGCACTGTGGTCCCTCAGACTTTACTGGCCTCTTCTCTACATCCAGGAGTTACCATCACAGTTCCAGGGACTTGTTCGTCACCCCTTCATTTGTAGGAATATGGTGGGTGGAGATAATTACTTGGTTATTTTAGCAGTCCCCCAGTTGACTGAGTGTCTGCTTATCGTGTGCACGTGGTCTGCCCTCTTCATGTGACCATGGCACATATCTAAATCTCGGCCCTCATGTCCCTCTTCATCGTGGTCTCTAGCAGTTACAGACACTGGGTCTGTCCGTCTCGTTGAGGATCTTCCTCGTTCACTAACCCCCCACCTTTCCCAGCATGAGGACTTTTTTTCCAGGACTGGCCCCTCTTAACATTATGGCCAAAGTATGTGAGCTGACATTTCATCATCCTCACCACTAAAGGGGCACCCTGGCTGCTCCAGGGCAGCCTTGTTATTCTCAAAGAATATACCAATTATTATCCCATCCCACATATGACAGCAATGCTAACAATGAAATAGCATTAAGAAACATAGACATGGAAAAAATGGAAAAATATTCACTTCCAGCAGGTGTAAGAGATGACCTGAAAATGCAGAGGTTTTAGCAGAACTAAGCCAGGATTGTATGAAACACACCTTGAATGAAGAATGGTGTGAAACAAACATATATGAACTTTATAAGCAAACCAATAAGCAATGCTAATTTAGATTTAAAAAATAATAAAGTGGTTGATGGACAAAAAAAAGAACAAAAAGCAAAGACATGGAAATGTAAAATGGTACAGCCACTATGATATTGTGGTGTGGCACTTTCTCAAAAAGTTGGAAATAGAAATACCATTTGACTTAGCACTTCCACTTCTGGGAAAATACCCTAAAGAAACGAGAGCCACAACCCAAAAAGACGTATGCACACTCATGTTTATTGCTGCATTATTAATAATAGCAAAGGTATGAAAGCAACCCAAGTACCTGCCAACAAAAGAATGAGTAGAAATACTTCACACAGCACTGAGAAACAAGCTCATAAAACATTACACAACAACTATGAGATATCATCTCACCCCAGTCAGAACAGAAAAATTTAACAGAACAGCAAGCAACAAATGCTGGCAAGGTTGTGGAGAAACTGGAACCCTTATTC